AAGTGTACAGACCAGAAGGTGAACGCTCACTCTCTCAGCTTCGCAGCAGGAAAAGGGGAAAGGGGGGGAGGGACACATTTTATCTGTGCAGACAATTTTAGCAGGACTGCCACCAATGCTCCCTCTAAGCTGTGGAGTCTTGTGAGCAAAAATTCTACTTTGTGAGCTACTGGCATTAAAGTTGTGAGCGAGCAATTTGGCTACTGCATCAATTAGTTTGCTCTGGAGCCATCCCTTCCTGAGCTAAGACAAAAATGTGTGAGCTGGAGGCTAAAAAACTGTGAGCTAGCTCACACTAACTCAGCTTAGAGGGAACACTGACTGCCACCAGAGAGGATTTCAACAAATAAGAATAGATGAACTAAAGACATAGATACAAAAATAAAAGTGAATTTGTAAGGCTGAAAGCATACGCAAGCCCATTCTACCGACACTGCATGTGACTAGAGATGTGAAAGCCTGGGGGGGGACACGGAAAAATTCGGGGGGGAAACGTTTTTTCCGTTTTTTTCCTGAAGGCTTTTTGTTTTTTCCCCGAAAAATTGGAAAAATTGAAAAAAGAAAAGAAAAAAATGATTATGGAACGTTTTATTTTAACATGATGAATAAAATATTTTAAGACAAGGTGTTCAAATATTTTCCAAATCATTTCTAAAATCATTTCTAAAATATATATATATGGTATCAGATTGATCTAATTTCTGTGCACTGAGGACAAGCAAGTCCTAGCTTACAAACTGAACTCTCCAATGCAAGAACAAGATGCATTTCTTCCTTTAGGAGGTGCGATTGTCAGAAGAAAATAAAATAGTTTCAAATTTGTTTTTGCATGTGGGTGGGTATTCTGTTTGTAATAATTGTTTGGATACACTTTATTTTTAATATGCTAGTTGTGATCATTTCAAGCCAAGTAAAAAATGTCCATAGTCATATTTTATGTTCCTAAAGTAACAGAGGAGCTGCGGTGGCTCAAGTGGTTAAGAAGCCGCATGACGGAGTGAGCTCCCGTCTCTAGCTCCAGCTCCTGCCAACCTAGCAGTTCGAAAGCAAGAAGAATGACTTTCAATCTAGAAAAGACAAAAGAAATGCTAATATAGCATTTTTTTCAATTTTTCCAAAAATTTCCGTTTTTTTCCAAAAAAAACCCAGGTTTTTTTCCGAGCTTCAAAATTTCCGGAAATTTTACATCTCTACATGCGACAGTCTTCAAGCTAACGCAGATCTCATAAAATGTCACTATTATCACTCAGTTGTGAACAGCCATTCCTCAGCTGTGGGAACTGCCCTTTCAACAGGTGATGGGAGTCCCCGAAACCTGGGTTCAAGCCATTAGCCCACTGGACGAATTTGCCTCTCAGGAACGAATTTGCCTCTTAATGATTATTTCATGGATTTCAATCTGAGCCAGTGGTGAACAGCAAACACGGCAGTAACAAATTGCTTCCCTCTAAGTCTCCATTTCTGAGAAAATGCAAACAAAAACACTTCTGCATCTGACGCATCCAGACCATTATCTACCAATGCAAACTGACAAGCGCGGTTAAGGAGCCGCCTTTAGAGATGTTTCCAAAACATGGGGCTGTCCGTATTTTTTATTTCTGATATTTGTGTATCTTCAAGGAACGTGCTGTAATTCTGAAGAGCGCTTAGCTCTACCATGATTTTGGGGCCGGTAGGAAAGCTGACTCTCCCTGGCGCCTTCTCTGAGCCTGACGGAACTTAAGTGAGCGGAATAAAACTAGGCTAAGGGAAAGCAACTACAGGATGTGCTCCTGATCGGTCAAGCTGAACATTTAGGCCAAGGGTCCCCAAAGTGAGACAGCAAGGATGTCAGCTATGCTGCCATGGGGGTGGGGACGTTTGTTCTCTTCTAATTGCCTTTGCATTCTTTCTGTGCTTTCTCGCTGCTGTAACGCTTATCTCTAAGTTGTGCAGGTGGTGGGATGTTGATGTCTGCTTTCAGAGGAACCGTGGAAGCAGGCTTGGTTCCCAGCTTCAGCTCTAACGGCCTGAGCGCAATCTCCCGCGCGCAGGAGCACAGCTAATTGGCCAGGGCAGTAGGGGGGTGCATACGAATACCTATTATCCTATTATGCCCATGGGCAGCCGCCATTCTTAACAGTGCTTATGTTACTGCATCTATAGCTCTTCAATAAAGTATTACCTTTCCTGATAAGCGTGTACTACGTCAGTGGCTGTGGGTTCTGACACCATGGGAGCAATGCTCCCTCTAAGCTCCACGTCTTGTGAGTAAAAATTCTACTCTGTGACCTACTGGCATTAAAGTTGTGAGCAAGCAATTTGACTGCTGCATAAATTAGTTTCCTCTGGAGCCCATCCTTCCTGAGCTAAGGCACAAAAATCTGTGAGCTGGAGGTTAAAAAGCTAGCTCACACTAACTCAGCTTAGAGGGAACACTGGCTCAACCAGGAGGAGGAGACTGGATTTGTACCCCGCCCGTCACTCAGAGTCTCAGAGGGGCTTACAAACTCCTCTCCCTTCTCCTCCCCACAACAGACACCCTGTGAGGTAGGTGGGGCTGAGAGAGCTCTTTCCAGAACTGCCCTTTCAAGGACAGCTCTGACAGAACGATGGCTTGCCCAAGGTCATCCAGCAGGTGCAAGTGGAGGACTGGGAAATCAAACCCGGTTCTCCCAGATTAGAGTCCGCGCACTTAACCACTACACCAACCAGCCATCACTGTCTTCAGCAACTCTGACAGCAACAATAAATGCCCAGATAGCCTGCTGTTCTTGCTACCTCTTTCTCAGCTCCAGCTAAGAACTACTACCAAAAAAAATCTAAATTAAAGACCAACAAGATTCCCAGGGTATAAAACGTTCGAAATTTCAGGCTCCCTTCATCAGATACATCAGAGAGCTTTCACTCTTGAAAGCCCAATACCCTGGAGAGCTTGTTGGCCTTCTTATGTTGCTGCTAGACTCGAATCTTGCCTTTCTACTGCAGGCCGGCATGGCTACCCACGGGAAACTATGCAACAGCTGGACGAGTGAGGTTGCCGTAATTCCCGAAAGAAAAAAGTCTCATTCTTCCAAGCGGCCAAGGAAGCAGTGAAAGATATGGAACGAGGAGAGTACCCCCAGCCAGTCTCTGAAAAGAAATACCCGCTTCCTAGCCTCCAAAATAACATTCTCTGTACCTGGCATCTCAGCGTAGCGACAGTCAAAAGCCAATCCACTGGAATCCCCTACCGTGCCCTAACCGAAACTTATTTGGACTATAAAAGCTGAAAGATGGAGCTTGACTGTGTTGGCACGGCATATCCATCGCCGACGGATTGTAAGCCACCTCGAGCCAGACACTGAAGAGGCAGCGTAGAAATATTCTTTTCTTTTTTAAAAATCAACAAAGGTTTATTCAAGGTTTTCAACATGTAACAATACAAGAATATAACAACAATATGATGTGAAGAGCAAAAGGAATAACAACAAACATTAGTTAACATTATCTAAATACTTAAGGAGGTATCATTATGCTCATTAACATAACATCTATCTTGCTGCTAACTTCAGTTCATTGATGGGTTAGTAGCTTTAGCCTATGTGTTACTTTAAACAATTCTATTTTCAGAAACAAAGCCAGTATTTATCATTAGCAAAAGAGGGAACCACTTCCTTTTCTGAGACAAACTGAATTATTGGAAACCACTTAGATATAAACGGTGTTTGATAATCCTCGTTAGTGTGATTTGCTATGCCATCCACTATTTTTGAAATCTTCTTAAATAAATAAGTTAATTTCCTCGATGCAGCCTATCAGCCTTGTGATCCTTTCTGACCGAAGTTGCATGACAATGATTTATATCCCGCTTTCTCCCCACTGGAGACCCCGAGTCACTCACAACATCACTCTCCCCTCTTTCCATTTTTGTCCTCACCACAACAACCCTGTGAGGTAGACTAGGCTACAAGCAAGTGAGTAGCTCAAGGTCGCCCAGCAAGCATCCATGGTAGAGCAGAGATACAAACCCAGATCCTAGTCTAGAGTTCTAACCACCAAGCCACATCGGCTCTCAAAGTGACAGTCCACAACGAACAGCAGGACCCAGCAAGCATCCATGGCAGAGCAGAGATACAAACCCAGATCTCCCAGATCCCAGTCTAGAGTTCTAACCACCACGCCACATCAGCTGTCAAAATGACAGTCCACAACGAACAGCAGGGTCAGCAATACGCTTTCACGCTTCAAAATCTGGAACTAGCTATAAAAAAATCACTTCCCTTGTTCACACCACGTGCCTTATTCTCGCTAAATGATAACTTGGGCCACGCAAAACAAACACAGAGAGGCCAGGAGTAACACAGAGAGAAACATACAGGAAACCACGAACAAGGATGGGCACATGCCATCACTGTCCCATCTCAACAACCTATCTCAGTCCCCTGAAAGCAGCTTAAAAACTGAATCCCAGGCTTTTGGAAGGGTTCTGCATTCTTTTAGACTGTTAGGCCAAGCTCGTTTTTAAGAACTCTTGGCTTCTTAGTTGCAGACTCAGCCTCAAAATCCTGCAGGCTCAATTTCTTTTCTTTTTTCCCCAATCGCCCCTTGCAAACAGCAAAACAATGATGCGGTCAGGTGACCTATCCTCTAGCTAAGTCAGGGGTCCCCAACCTGGTGCCCATGGGCACAACTGTGTCTGCTAACATGTTTCCTGATGCCTTCCAAGTGTTTTCCGAAAGTGGGCAGAGCCAGGTGGCGTTTTTGTCAAGCAACACTTCTGATTTTGCTTTCTGTGGCAGCTGTTTTGTGGCTATGCCCACCACTCTGTGTCAGAATCCCAAATGTGCCCGCAGGCTCTAAAACGTTGGGTTAAAAGGTAAAGTTTCCCATGCTCGAAAGGCAGTCGAATCCGACAAACGTTGGGTACCCCTGAGCTAAAAATCTGCAATATGCCTCGGCCTGCGGTTGATTCGATTTATTTTATCCTGGAGAAGTAGAGCTCTAAAATATACACACACAGATAATGTTGTCGACCCTACCTGCTTGCAATGGCAGAGTTCTGCTCCTTCAGCACAAGTTCCTGGTGTTGCACGGCAACGACGTACCTGGAGAGATCATCGGGGCTCCTAAACAATCAGAACACACACAATGCACAGGTTAAAAAGCTACCCACAGGCTGCTAGTCCACAACCCTGGCAGTTTCAAGCCACAGAGAATAGCTCTGAAAGGCAAAAGTTTCTTAAAACCCACGCAAGCATCTATTACGAGACACCCCACCCCAAACTTCCAATTTCTTACGAAGGCAGAATCTGCTAAGAAATCTCAACATGCCCCACTCCAACAAAAACATTAAGGAATCATTGGTAAATTACACTTGGGAAATGTCAGATCAGTGTAGATCAAGGGTCCCCAACATGGTGCCTGGGGGCACAACGATAACCGTCGACATCCTTCTTGGCGCCCACCAAGTGTTTCTAGAAAGTGGAAGGGGGACAAGTGGGACTCCCACCCAGCAGGGCCTCTGATTTGCCACTTAAGACCTGATTGGCTAATCATATTAAAATAACACTGTTTCAGTGCTAGCTATCGCTATTAGGGATGGGCACGAACCTAGTCACGAATCTAAATGTGTCACGAAAAATGCCCAATTCGTGGTTCATCAGCCAAAGGTTGTGCGACCATATTCTTTAGACCCTAGGATCTTCCAGGAGAAGGCAGGTGGGTGACCACCCCCCAGGCCCGAAGAGAAGGCTTGCCCATCTGTAGCAACACTGTCTGTGATAAAGAGGCGGGCAGTGCTCGCACCCCCAAGCCCATCCTCACAAACATTGGAGGGCAGGTAGGGGGGAATCCCAGGGAGGTCTGTAAGTTCGAAGCCTCTAGCTTGCCGGGGGGGTCATCTGACACACTATCCTGAACCTACGGATGTGATTTCCCCAGAGAGTGCTTTCCTGGGGGCACCTGCTTTTGGGGGGGACACTACTCAGTCTCCCAAATCCAACCCTCACCAAACTTGGAGGGCAGGTAGAGAGGCACCCTGGCAACATCCTCTGTTAGTTTCATGCCTCTAACTTACAGGTGGGGGTCTGTTCAACACACTCCTGAATCTGTGGCTGTGGTTTCCCCAGAGAGCACTTTTCTGCGGGCACCTACTTTGGGGAGCTGTTAACTCAGGCCCCCCCCTACACCCAATCCTCACCAAACCTGGAAGGCAGGTAGAGGAGAGCCAGCTGAAGACTCGCTGTGAGTTTGGCATCTCTAGCCCAAAGGGGAGTCGTTCTATTGCATCACAAACCTCACAAAATGAACCACTTCAGTAAACAGGAAGGTTTGTGAAGGTTCGTGGTTCGTTAGACCCAATGAACGGGGATGAATCTCCATTTTCCTGGTTTGTGCCCATCCCTATTGACTACACTGCTTGTTTTGTTCCCTGTCCCCTCTCCCCCAGTGTATCCTTTTTTAAAAAATTACTCCTCTTATCCCCTTCACTAGGGCTTCTTTGTGTGTGTGTCTCTGCCTCTTGTGGCAGCCATTTTGTGCTTGGCTCCACCTCCCACAGCAGACATTTTGTGGTTGCGCACACCACCTTGTGTCAGAATGCCAAAGGTGCACATGGATTCAAAAAGGTGTGAAGACCTCTGGTGAAGTGGTTTTCTTTTCTTTCTGCATGCATGGAATGACAAGAAGAGACAAGGAGAGGAGAGGAGAAGCTATGCACCTTATCAAGTTTTCATTTAAAGACTGCACACTAGATTCTCGGCTTCAAAACTACATTTGTGGGGAGGGGATGACTGTTATGTTCCCTCTAAGCTGATTTAGCATGAACTAGCTCACAGTTTTTTAGCCTCCGACTCACACTTTTTGTCTTTGCTCAAAATGGACGGCTCCAGAGCAAACTAATTGATGCAGTAGCCAAATCACTCACTCACAACTTTAATGCCAGTAGCTCACAAAGTAGAAGTTTTGCTCACAAGACTCTACAGCTCAGAGGGAGCATTGGTTATAACACACACCTCTTAAAGAGCCAATTTCTGCCACCAAATACAAATAATAGCTAAAGTAAGCAGCTAAAGTAAGCCGAGAATAGATGCTTTCGAATGATGGTGCTGGAGAAGACTCTTGAGAGTTCCCTGGACTGCAAGGATATCAAATCAGTCAATCCTAAAAGAAATCAACCCTGACTGTTCCCTGGAAGGCCAGATACTGAAGCTGAAGCTCCAATACTCTGGCCACCAAATGAAAAAGGAGCACTCACTGGAGAAGACCCTGGTTTAAGGTAACCGAAGATTTAAGGTAACCGAAGAAGGGTGAGATGGTTAGACAGTATTATTGATGCAATGAACATGAAATTAAGCAAACTCTGGAGGACAACAGAGGACAGGGGGGCCTGGTGTGATGTGGTCCATGGGGTCACAAAGAGTCAGACTCGACTGTGCGACTGAACAACAAAAAAGCAGCTGTGTATATCTCTTTGCTCAACAGACAGGCATTTTACTCTTCAGGAAGCCTTCCCGCTATTTATTCAGTACTACAGAAAATACTATACTGTTCACTTAATACCAAAATGTCAGCTACCAGCATCTCTTACTGGGCAGAAATCAATAAAAAGGTGACTAGTCATACCCCATTTTAAGCAAAAGTGTCATACATCCTAATATTCAGGGGTCACTTCGTAGAAAAAGAGGTACAGGAGCTCATTAGCATAACTCATTAGCATAACTTATTAGCATATGCCACACCCCCTGACATCACCGGAAGTGTGTCAGAAGGCAACACTACTGCTCAGGCTCCACTGGACTGTTTTGGATTGCTAATTATGGGGGGGAGAACGTGCAAATTTGTCCTCGCAGAGGAGGGAGAGCTTGTACCTGAATAAAACTTGGTCTTAAAGGTGCCACTGGATTGTTTTGGACCGGGGGGCCAGGGGGGGCCTCTGCAACTTACCTGGCTGCTTGTTGCTCTGACTGAGGGCTGCTGGGAGCAGGGGATGGGGCTCTTTACTGCCGGAGCTCTGCTCCTCTGTGCTCCTGCAGGAAATGACCCCTGCTAATATTAGATCTTATGAATAGTTCCTCGGCTAGTCACCTATATTTATGTGTTTGTCTATTGATTCTATTTCTACCCCACCCTCCCCCACAAGTAGACAAATAAATTAACAGTTAAGACCATTACAACAATAAAACAAGTATCACTTCCTTCTGCATATTGAAAGTCTCTTTTCATCCCCTGCCTTTAGGCCATCTACGTGAGCCAGTGTTGCTTAGCGGTCACAGAGTCTGACTATGAGATCCAGGTTCCAATCCCCACTCTACCGCAGCTCACTGGGCAGCCTCAAGCCAATCATGCACTCTCGGCCTCTTCTACCTCACAGGGTGGTTGTGATGACAAAACGGAAGACGGGGGAAAGACCCAAGCCACAGTGGGCCCCCGCTGAAGGAAAAGACGGGGCACAGATGAAGTCGATAAATACGTGGGCCACAGAGAGAAACAAACACTCCGAGGTTGCAGTCTCCCACCCACTGATAACCGGCCATACCTACCTACATCAATGGGCTGGACTCTCCCTACGGTAAGCTGTGATTATTGATCTTGTATGCTTATGACGTGCTTTAAAATTTCCCTGTATTTATGGAAACGTTGTAACCCGCCCTGAGCCCGTTTACAGGATAGGTGGGATATCAATGCAAAATAAATAAATAAAGCACGAAGGCCATTGTGCAGGAAACTCTCAGCCGCACCTACCTCACAGGATCGCTATGAAGATAAAATGGAAAAGAAGGGGACAATGTAAGGTGTTTGGGCCCCCACTAGGGGAAAAGGTAATAAATACATGGGGCACAGACAGTAACAACCGGGGGGCGGGGTGATCAGTCCTAAATCTTTCACTCGGCCAAGAGAGTATTTCGTGTGGAATACCAGGCAACGAGGTGCATCACTGCAACAATATATGAAGGTTAATGTGAAAGCTCTAAGCCCATAGAGGAAACAGCAAGAAATAGTGTGGGGTGGGGGGGACTTCTAAAATGCAACGAAGGGCCCCCATTATTCTCTCATTCTGACAGGTGAATTACAGCAACGCAAGAGTCCTCAAGCAGATGCGTTGTGCAGGGCTGCCCTCTGTCGAATCGAAGCAAGGACTGCAAAAAAAAGATTTCTGCAGCCAAGAGGGAGCTTTTAAATCAGAAGGATGCGGAGACCCGTTTCAAAGAGAAGACAGCTTTCTGATAACCAGGAAGCCTCCAGGTTGACAACTGTGGCCAGAGGAGGGGGGTGTATCTTTCTAAAAAAAACAAACCAGCAAATGTGAAGCAAGAAGCATTATTGATGCAGATCTTCCCCCAACATCAACACCGTCTTAGAGAGCAAGTTTGGTGTAGCGGTTAAGTGCGTGGACTCTAATCTGGGAGAACCGGGTTTGATTCCCCACTCCTCCACTCGCAGCTGCTGGATGACCTTGGGCAAGCCATAATTCTGGCACAGCTGTTCTTGAAAAACAGCAGTTTCTGACAAGAGCTCTCTCAGCCCCACCTACCTCAGGAAAATGGTAGGCAGGTAATTTCTTCTCACCTTGACACAGAGAGTCCTCCATCTTTCTGTGTTATACCTCTGAAAATGCCAGTCACAGTGGGTGCGTTCAGACGGGGGCTTTACACCGGTAAGGGTGCCGGTTCCAATCGATGTACTTACCGGCGTTCAGACGGGGCACATCTGCCTCCTCTCCCTAACCGGTGTAAAGCCCTTTACACCGTTGCACTCTGCTACCAGGTCCCAAGTGGTGGTATACAGAGTGCAACGGTGGTAAACAATACACCCCGGCATCTGATCGCTCTCCACCGGTGCCTAGGCATTTCCGTCGGAAGCCTGAGGCTTCCGGCTTTCCCCCGCCATTTTATTTTAACCCTAAGCGATATGCGCTCGGGCGAAGCTTCGCCCTGAGCGTCTGTTTAAATTAAAAAAAAACCTTACTTTACCTTCCCGGAGGAGTCCGGGACTTAAGGGAGGCCAGGTTGGGATTTAAACTTTAAAGGTAAGTCCTTACCTTTAAAGTTTAAATGTAATGGGGGGGGGGTTTGAGCATGCGCAAAAATCGCCATTCTCTGAATGGCTGCCTGTGTGCATGCTCAAA